CAAAAACTCAATAGCAGGCAGCTCTTTGTATTACAAAAAGGCCACAGGTTATTGTCTCCTAGTCCTCACTTATGTTGATGATATCATTGTCACAAGGAGCTCCAACACAGCCATATCTTCCTTTATTGCCTCTTTGAACACCATCTTTCCTCTTAAAGACCTTGGTGATTTGCATTACTTTCTTGGTATTGAAGTTCTGCACACTTCAAATGGTGTCTTCTTGAACCAAGAAAAATACATTTCAGAGATTCTTACATTGATCGGCATGTCTGATGCAAAAGGATTGAGTTCTCCCATGTGTACCAACTCTCATCTCTCAAAACATCAAGGTGACCTTATACCAAATCCTACAGACTTCAGAAAACTACTAGGATCATTGCAATATGCAACTGTTTCTAGACCAGATATCACCTATAGTGTGAACAAATTAAGCCAGTATATGCAGCTGCCATTGACCACTCATTGGAAGGCATTGAGAAGAATATTGAGATATCTAGCTGGTACATTGTCTTATGGTTTATTCTTCTATCACAACAACAGTTTCACATTAAAAGCCTTTCCAGATGCTGATTGGGGTAGTGACATTGATGACGGAAAATCCACCTCAGGCCATTGTGTTTATCTTGGCAACAATCTTGTCTCATGGAGTTCAAAGAAGCAAGGGGTTGTCTCTCGTTCCAGTGTTTAGTAGAGATTTGATGGGCAAAGGATAACCGAGCTACCCGACTCGGGTCGATCTCGAAAGAAGGCTATTCGGAGCTTTATCTACTAAATGATCGTCCAAATCACAAAAAGGGAAAATAAAATCCTAAACATTCTAAGCAATTGATTGGATGGTTGATTAACACTAATCGAGCACTTAATAACGAGCAACTAATTAAAAGCAAGATCAAATGACGAGCAATTAGCAAACTAGATCACCGGAGTCTCATGCTATGACCATATCGGGATGATAATAAATCGACAAACGGAATAAACGAGCTACGAGCATTAGATTGCTAACCCTCCTCGTCTAACCGAGATCAACAAGCAATTAACGGCTCTATCTACTCAAGCAAGCAATCAAGTTCAAGCATTTCCACCATCATCAATCAAATCCAAATTTAGCCTAATGAACATTATAAGTATAATCGGAGCAAAAACCGAAGTAAAGAGCTTTAAAACTAAATACTCATTCTTCCATTGCATAGACGATGAAAAACAGAGTCAAAAGCTCGAAACTTGAAAGAAACCGAAGTCGCCGGAAAATCTCCCGAAAAATAGCATAAGCTCTTAATCTAGAGAGCAAAAATAAAACATAAACTAATTTCCCAAAGTGGAAAAGTGAAAAATGAGAGTTGGATCCTCAAAATACAAAGAAAAAAACATATTTATAGTCTTCTACAAAAACACACACTAGGTGCACACACATTTAAAAATTTAGCACTCGCTAGGTAGCGAACTAGTTCGCTAGGCGAAGTGGTCTTGTAGTCTTGTGCACACTCGCTAGGCGGCGAACTCATTCGCTATGAGGACTGGCCCTATGAGTCTTGTGAACACTCGCTATGCGGCGAATACGTTCGCTAGGCGAGCTAGACTTTCGGCACGGTAATGACTCGACAACGGCTCGGGCGACTCGGGCGACTCGGTCGGCTTGGACAGCACATCACGAAATGACTATTTCTTCCTTCCGGGCCTACAAAACACCAAAACGCACAAGGAAGATAGAAAAATATACAAAAACAACTCAAAAATGGAAAGCTACTAAAACGACCGGAACGCACAAACCGAACCTAAAAATACTCGACTCAAGCAAATAAAAACACAAGAAAAACACACAAAAACATAACAAACATCCAGCACTGAGGAATATAGAAGCATTGCTGGAGTCACTTGTGAAGTTCTTTTTGATCAATTCATTACTCACTGAACTTGGTTTTCCACCTCAGCAACCATGCACCATTTGGAGTGACAACCTTGGTGCTGTCTCTTTGTCTCTAAACCCTGTCTTTCACTCAAGAACCAAACACTTTGAACTTGACTTGCATTTCATTAGAGAAAAAGTACTTCAAAAGACTATCAAGGTCCAACATGTGCCAGCCATTAATCAGGTAGCTGATCTCTTCACAAA